TTGGTGCTCGAACACCCGGCGGCACTGCAGCAGGAAACCCCGGCATTTATCCACATTACCATCAAATAATTCTGGTTCAGGTATCGGAGGATCAGGGCGGGGACTGGTAGAACAAGTGGATGGGTGATTCTGTTGTGCAAACATCGGGGAGTTGAGTTGGTTTATCTGCTGTGTGAGTGCCGCCAGGTCGTGTTGCTGCTGCTGCAGTGCCTGAGCTAGTTGTGCATTAGATGGTGATCTGCCTGCACCGGAGTCAGCAGGGTCCATGGTGGCCAGTTCTTTCTGTAAGGACTGCTCGAACACAAAAAATAGTGAGTCACAAAAATAGACGGACCCAGGTGGCTGACTTCGGTGCAGACAGTGTAGTTTATTTACAGTGCTGTATAAGTGACAAGAAATGAACAGAGGAACAATGGAACCGGGTGTCGAGCATAGGAGTGTACACAGTCAATGATGGAGATGATGAGAAGAAGACCGGGCTGCGGACATTGGGACTCACTCCTGGACTGGTCGGGTTAGGTGCAACTGCAGATAAACAGAAATAGTACATATGGTGAGTGGTAGACTGTGCATCGACCTGCAGGGTGGTGAAGAGCAGAGTGGAGGAGGTCCGTGGTCCGAAGGAGCGGCTGATGCAAAAAAAGGGAATGTAATCTAAGCAGCTGGAGAGAAGAGACACAAAACACTAAATACAGATTCAAAAGAACGACGAGGAGCAAACGGGCCTGAGAAAAGCTAGAAAGTATTAGGTACAAGCTAAAAGTAAAGTAGTCTAATACAGCAGTCCTGTAATAAATTTCTGCTGCACTTAAAGTTCCTAAGAGCACAGTGGCCTCCATAATCCTTAAATGGAAGACGTTTGGGACGACCAGAACCCTTCCTAGAGCTGGCTGTCCGGCCAAACTGAGCTATCGGGGGAGAAGAGCCTTGGTGAGAGAGGTACAGAAGAACCCAAAGATGACTGTGGCTGAGCTCCAGAGATGCAGTCGGGAGATGGGAGAAAGTTGTAGAAAGTCAACCATCACTGCAGCCCTCCACCAGTCGGGGCTTTATGGCGGTTCATATATTACAAACCATTACATTTCATGTAATGATGCCACTTGAAAAAGAGAGAGTTTACTTCAGTGGGATTTTACCTTGGTTAAAAACAATAAATAAACAAAAAACAAGTGGTCAGACAGCCATACAGTGAAACCAGCATGTTAGACAATTTAGTTTAGAAGAGAAAACAAAGGCAAATACTAATTGTACATTTTTCCATATTTATCACCCTTTTCCTGACTATCAGATCTGCACTGTAATACAAGAACAGTGTGTCTCTATTTACATATCATTTACATGAATCATCATCTCATAATGTCATTTCCTTGGCTACAGGTGAGAAGTTTCTTCTGACCTCTGCTTGAAGTGAAGCACTCGTTGTTTAAAAAAATCACCAAGAATTTCAAATAGTAAATCTGCCAGTGTTGTCACTGTTATTTGCATGGCAATAATCTACATACAGTGTATAATTTAGTAAATTTGTACTTGTACACTTATTTTGATTCATGAATTTTATTTAGTTATTTCCTGTAAACACAGAGGTGCCTAATTTTGTAACAGAGATAGGCAACCAAGATGTAATTTATTCTTGCCTCTGTTTTACTTTTCTGTTCAACTCTGGCATTGGTTTAATGAAATGCATGTAAAACAAATACAAGTTTAATCAATTACCAGACAATCAGTTGACTGAACTCAGTGAAGCACACAGAAGGTCCCAATTTATTGGAATATATTGCCTAATGTTTCTTAGGCAAACCATGCAAATGGTGCTAAAGTTAGCTTGAATGTTCACAGCGTGCACAAAACTATTTTTTACCGACCTCATTTAAAAAAACTGCCCAATCTGGCATTGCTGCTTTGCATATGGACTGTGCATGTAGGCACATGTAAGATTGGCAGGCCTGGCCAGGATAGAAACAATAACTAGGAGAAGTGAACAGTTTGTGGCAACACAAACTTATAAACATCTACCTCATTCACAAATTCCAAATTTGTGATTCAGCTTTGTGCAATTACTGTGTGTACACATAGTCTGTGCAGTGAGGAACTGGTTTCACTAACTTGGACCTCACCCACTTTATTGAAAACCAAAGCCAAATCATAATAAATTGTAACTTTCCTTTCATCCCCCACCTGGTAACATGATCAGCTGTAAGTTTGTCATAGAAAAAAAAAGTCATCACACTTTATAAAAGGCAGGTTAGAATTTTAAATACCAAAAGGGGAAAATCTCCCCATAATCTTTTTTACCATATCTCTCCCTGTAGTTAATTCATTTCTTTTCTTGTGTACTAGACAATGCATCAGATCCTGGTGTATCCGCCAAACAGATCTGGATAGACGTCGTCGATGAAGCCGGGCACCTCTGCCTAACTTTCACTGATAATGGCAGTGGCATGACACCCAGCAAACTTCACAGGATGCTGAGGTAAGACGGGCACCTGCACAAGAGGTAGACATGTTAATGAAAAACACATAAAAAGTGTATTGGTATGTAGCCTCAAATGTTTTTTGCTCATAATTTTGTCTGATAGTGTTCCTCTGATCTGTGTTTACATATTTAGACTACATTTAGTTTTTGGTATCCCTTTCTCATACCATACACTCTCTTTCCCACAAAGACCTACACTACATTTATACAGACAGCTGAAACCTTCAGCTGATTCATCAGCTACTAGTGTTACATAAACAACAGTTTTTATCTGATAATTCTTTAAATAATTCATCAGCAATGAAAGTAATCATTAGTTACCAAATTAGAAGCTCTTGAAAAACACAAGTAATAAATAATCTATTTTCTTATTCTCCTCTTTAACCCTATGTTTAGTTTTGGTTTTACCGAGAAGGGCTCGGGTAAGACCAGTCACCAGGCTATCGGCGTGTACGGGAACGGTTTCAAGTCTGGTTCCATGCGTCTGGGCCGTGATGCACTGATCTTCACCAAGAACGGCGGCTGCCAGACGATGGGAATGCTGTCTCAGACCTACCTAGAAAACATCAAGGCCCAGGCCGTCATTGTCCCCATTGTGCCCTTCAACCAGCAAACCAATATCCTTCACAAAAAGATGGAAGCTGGGGAGGGGAAAGAGGAGAATACTTGAACATTCAGTGTGTGTGTATTTGTTTAATTCCAGCATGTCTTCATGATTTTTTGGTGTAATTACTGTAAACCAGGGGTTTTCAATCTGTGGTCCGTGGCCACAGTGGTGGTCCACGAATACATTGCAGGTGGTCCTTGATCATGCATTCAGTAATGTAGTTTCACTGCAGGAATCTTTTTTATTTTATTTTTTAAACTCATTTTCATGGATCACTTATCATTTGTGAATAATCAATTTCATGCAAATATATAAAGTTTAGAAAAGCCAAGGTGACGTTCAGGATTAAAGTAGTGGTGATCCGGTGGTCTTCGGGTTACTTCTTAGTCAGAATGGTAATCCCTGAGTCACAATTGTTTGAAAACCCCTGCTATAAACCATTAAAAGCATGATCGATTAATCAAATTAAAAATTTTGGATGTCATTGACTTGACACTGACTGGTGGAGATTATGCTGGCCACCTTGCATGTTCCCGTATGTCCTGACCTTAACTCAGTGTCACAGTCACTGGTGGTGACAGAGGACTCACAGGCCAGCCTGGCAGCCATCCTCCAGCACTCCATCATCACCTCCCAGGAGCAGATACTTGCGCACTTTGACTCCATCCTCTCCAAAAAAGGCACCAAGATATTAATCTGGAATATTCGCAGGTCAGAATCATACATTTGCTCACGCTGAAAATAAATTAGAAGATGCATGTTAGTAATTTAAAATTTGATCAAAAATAGTTTGCAATTGGGTGAAATATACCTATACTTTTTTGCAGTTTGATAAGATAAATACCACCAAATAATTAATATCAAATCCCTGCTGGACAAATTTGCGTTTATTGGGTTATTAGGGTTTTCCCTAGGTTTTCAGATGGCTAAGGTGCTCTTTGTCTTTATTTTATTTTTGGGGGGTAAAATTTTGCAAAGGAAATTCTAACTTATATTTAGAATATATTATTTATGTAACATCAGCTGACTAGCTTTTTTCGCTAACATAACTTGGCTAATTCACTACATTAGCAGTTTCTGTTTTGCCATTCACAAGAATTACTCCCCAGCAAAGTTATATAATACCTCCTGTATTACCTGTGGAGGCTAACCATATCGATGACTGTAACTTCCATCCTGAGTTGACAGTACAGAGAAATATCTAGTCAGCTGTTTGATTAGCTTGGCGGTGCTGCCAGTCATACAAACATTAGACCAAACACTGTTGACTGACAGGTCATTCCTGTTGCCAACTTATGAAATCAAGTCACCTCTCCATTATAGCTCACCTTTTTACATTAATTCGGCACTGTGCATGAACCTTTCTACGAAATACCCTGATAAAGGCTGAAAACCATTATAAAGCCTCATCCGGTTCTTTCAAACCAGGAACTCCGAGGGACGACTCAGACCACTTGAGTATATAAAAAATATAACCGTGCTGGTTTATTCAAAGAGTCACAGGCAAGAATTAACACTCCAAGTCCAGAGATCTTCCAACCCCCAGGCTGCCCAAGCAGCCCAGAAGCAGCAAGACCCCGACTGTCGAACCGTGACGTCACCTGATATGCCAGCTTGGCAGCTGAGCAGAGCAGTAGACAAAACATGAAGAAAATAATGTGTGTGGCTGTTGTTTTCGTGGTGTGTATCTAAAACAATTTGACATAACATTACACATTAAGACAAATATTATGGTTACTTTTACCGTCATAATAACATTCGTCCCTGACTTCAGCCCTTCTCTGCCTTAACTATCCTTGCATTTAACAGCCTGAGGAAGACATCCTGCTGCACTAAACATTCTTAGACAACAAATCTCTGAATATCTATCTAACTAAGAAATAACCTAACACTGACTATACAATTAAAATTTGACTTGACTTCACTTTAAATAGCAACCATCCGCTTAGCATCAAGACTGAAATGGGGGGAAACTGCTTCCCTGCATGTACAAAGGTAAAAATGTGCCTAAAATTAATTAATAATTAATACTAATTAATATGTTTTATCAAACAACATTTTATTCTTTTTTGTTTTGGAAGTAAAATGTGTACAGTGTGTTACTTTCTGAGCTTTAGAGATGCTAGTAGGCAGATTGTATCTTTGTCCAGCACCAGCCTCACCGTTTCCAGCTGCTTCCAGTCTTTGTATTAAGCTTATATTAAGCTGCAGCTTTACCTTTAGTTCCCACAAGCATTCTTGGTTTGTGTTTGTAAGTAGCTTATAATGAGTGTAGGCTTATTTTAAGGCATGTGAGACTGATGACTATGCAAATACAAAAACAGACATGCAAATGGGCATGAACACACACCTTGATATTTGTTTAATGGTGCCTTAACACAAATGCACACAATAGGGCACATGTTCAAAAGCAAACCATCATTACATCATCATATGAAGACAAAAGAAAAATTTTAGCCCAAAGATTCAAAGTCTTTTTTCCTGTTGTTCTCTAATTGTCACTAAGAGCAACAGTCCTATAGGCTTTTTGTTTGTTTTCATTCCTCTTTACACTGATAATAATCATCTAAATAGCCAGATTCCTATCATGTAAAACTCATGTACACACATATACACTATAACACAGCACCCTCATAGTTTTTGGACTGGGGCAAAAACAATTTAAAATCTAATTTAGCTTTCAAACAGGAAAATCTGCCAGATTTTTGCTGCACCATAAAGGTAGACTCAGAGCAGTCACATATGGTGTGTCATTATCACCTGTTTTAACAACTGTCCTTTGATGTTATCCCAAAGGGCCAAAGATGGCAAGCCTGAAATTGACTTTGAGACCGATGTGAATGACTTTCGCTTGCCTGAGATTCAGATCGAGGAGCTGAAGAAGGGACAGAGGAACAGTGGGGTCCTGAGGGCAGAGCAGAACATCTCAGACATACACTACAGTCTCAAGGTGAGTCAGGAAAACCATGTAGCTCTGTAATGTCAGCTTTTCACTAGCAAGGAGAAACAGCCCAGTTTTCACCACTGGACCAGTGCATTTTTAGATAATGCATTGGATTTAAAATGGTTTATTTAATTTAAGAAATGAAAGATTTTTCTAAACCCCTAAAGGAGTACTTATTAAAATTCAAAATCACCAAAATGAAGGATGCCTGGGTGTCAGCATTTGGGCTTGTTAGGACATTGAGACATTTTGGATGAGTTTAGGGTTAGTGGTTAAGAAGAGGATTATAGCAGAATTCAGGGTAAGAGACGGTGGTTGCGGTAAAGGTTTGAGTGTTCCACATAGCAAATACATGTCCTATGCAGACGTGTGTGTGTGTAGGTGTGCATGCCAGTTTCATGCACAAACCAGAATAGCTCTCTAGTACCTGAGACATACTTGTGGTTTTGTAGTAACACTGCCCCAGTTTTATTAAAAGCCATGATCAGATCAGATTTTTCAAGTGAGTCTTAAGAGTTTGAAACATTTAAATAATGTACTCTCAGTCTAATATATCAAAATGATAAATTACCAAAACAATTACTAGTATTTGCTTTAATTTCTAAATGTCTCTTTTAAATTCTTTCTTTCTGTCTGTCTGTCTCAGGCCTACCTAAGTGTTTTGTATCTAAAGCCAAGGACACAGATCATACTGAGGGGGAAGAAGATTCTCACTAAGCTGGTGTCAAGGGGGCTGACACACACTGAGCATGATGTGTATAAACCCCACTTCAGCGTATCTTTTATGAGTGTTCGCTTGTGTACGTGGATGGTGGTAGAAATCCAAGATATTATCTCGATCTGCATTTGCCGCTTTTGAATCTAGCAGGTTTTTTTTGCAGGGAAGTGTTTCTGAGCAGCTGAATGACAGTAGGGAAATCAAAAATGTGTATTGTGACTGGATTTCATTTACCTTTCTGTTTAGACTGTAGTTTCACTTTCATATTTTACATCGTCTTATCTCCTCTCAAGAGCTGTAAATGGAGAATCATGGAACTTATAGTTTGTTTTGGCCTCTCCAAGCTTAGTGTAGCTTTGGGTAAATTAGCTTGGGAAAGATAGAACCTCAAGGAGGCCTCACAACGCAAGACTGGAGGTTTTCCATGTCACTTACGCACTGACATCAATCTTCCCCACTGGTTAAACACACCACACCTAATCTTTTTGTTTTGTTTTGTTTTGTTGTTACAGAATTTCAAATTGGACAAATGCACTAACTGCTCTGAGAAGCATCCCCCAAATCCAGAACTAATAAATCTGAAGCAGGACATAGGCCATGCACATACAGAATTACACATTTATTGTACATCTGTAATGCTGAACTTGTTAAATATTTCCATTGCCAGATATTCTGAATTCTGCCTTTGTGCTGTTACTATAACCTTGACTGCTGTCTGTCAGAAAGAGAAAGTGAAGGTGACCTTTGGGCTGAACCCAAAAAACAAAGACCACTATGGCATCATGATGTACCACAAGAACCGACTCATTAAGGCCTATGAGAAAGTGGGCTGCCAGCTGAAGGTAGAAGAAAAGGATGATGCTGTATGTGTTCAAGCATTACACTTGCATCCACTTAACTCTCTCTCCAACTTCCTACAGACCTCGGGTCAGAGAGCAGGAATCGGTGTCGTCGGTATTATAGAGTGTAACTTTCTGAAACCCGCTCACAATAAGCAAGACTTTGAGTACACCAAGGAATACAGGTACAACACACACACACAAAATGCTTTGTGCTAATATGAGCTGTGTGGTTAACTAGCTGCTTAAATTGATGCTTGGGATAAAGAAGATAAAGGCAGAAAATACCACTGCTAAGATTATATTTACAGAGCTATGAGAAAGTATAGCACCACTGACTCATGCGGCTCTTCCAGGAAATGCTGTCATTTTCTGCAAACATGAAACCAGATGTGAGTTTTTTTATAGCTGATCACAGCTGAAACCACAAATTTAAAAGTAATTTTGTCTAGACGATTTTATTCATATATTTGCTTATATACTTTTTCTTTTGTTTGTTTGATATTAGGAGAAACAACAAAAGGAATGAACTGTCTTTTCTTTTTTTTATTCTCCCAAGACTCACTCTTGGTGCTTTGGGCCTAAAACTCAACGACTACTGGAAGGAGGTGACAGAGAAGAAGGCCAGAGAACGAGCTTATCAGGCGCTAGACAGAAATGGAAATGAAGATAAGCCTGATGCTGACAAGTTAGTGCCAACAGTTTCTTTTTTTTCACAGCTGTGGTGTAAACAGTACAAGTTCTTCTTCTCACCTTCAAGTGTCCACAACCTGTAGCAAGCTACAAAGCCAAGTCCATTTATGTTTTTAAATCTAGCCCTTTAACCAAGCTTTCCATTTACCTTTTTGCTTGTTTGCCATAGTCTTTGAGTTTCATGAACCATGCTTCAGAATCATGTTTTTTCTATTGTTGTTACTACTTTAGGTGTAAAAAAAAAAAAAAAAAGGGACAAGGATTTGGGCTCATACTGGTTGATGAGCAGCATTTATCATGTAGGAACTTGTGAAGTAAACTGAAAGTGAAATTAGGCGATTTCTTTTTTTTTTTTTTCAAAGCTTGAAATCAGAGATGCAGCTTCTGGAGCTGCTTTTCAAGTTGAGCCAACATGATGAGCCAGGGAACTTCAAGTATATATTATACTGGGCTAGAAAATGTACAGAGAATACTTTCATCTTGTACAGTATGTGGCTTTTGCTTGATGTTCTTATGCCCAAGTCTAGGCTCTCTTGAGATCATCTGAAAAGAGTTTATTTGGTGACTTCCCCTTTAATCTCCACTTCTGCTTTACTGAGGGTTTGCCATACTTATGTGTGTATTTGCAGGGGTCCCATATGGTTACAGTGTGAAGAGTGCCTGAAATGGCGGAGCATCCCTGCACATCATTACAGTGTGATTCCTGAAAGCTGGAACTGCAGTCAGAACCCCAACCCACGTTACAGGTGTGTCGTTTGAACTACTGACCTCCTGCTTTTTTCCTCTCTCTCTCTGGAAATAACCAGAACAGTTGTTTGGCTGTATTTATATCACGTGTTTTCAAAGGCTGACACTGACTCCGTCAAGACAGAATGACTTCTAGTTTTATTCTTTGTCTTTCCTCTGTTTGATAGTTAATCATGCTGTAGGTTTTGGAGCTATGGTTCCTACAGTGCTTCAGGGGATGAGGAAATCAGAGCTCTTAAGATAGAAAAGTTGCGACATTGAGGAGTCAAAAACACTAGCAGGTCGCATGACTCACGTAGCTTCAAATAGCTCCAAACACTCGATTGAGGTCCATTGTTTTCTGTAGGGAACAGCGAGATTTATCAGCAAATTACTGTTTTTAATGACCTGAACAGCCTTGCAAACTAAATCGGAGGCAGATTTAGTTTGCAAGGCTGTTCAGGCCAATCGGAGCCTCCTTTTTAGCCTGTATTTAGTATTTTCTCAGTTTGGCACCACTAAAAATATAGCAAATGAGCTGGTAGCAGTTCCTGCTTGCAACGTACCCATGTATGTACACACAGTGTTTACTGGATCACATTCATATTGAAGAAAACAAAAAAAAAACACGAAATCGGAGCCTCCTTTTTAGCCTGTATTTAGTATTTTCTCAGTTTGGCACCACTAAAAATATAGCAAATGAGCTGGTAGCAGTTCCTGCTTGCAACGTACCCATGTATGTACACACAGTGTTTACTGGATCACATTCATATTGAAGAAAACAAAAAAAAAACACGATGATTCTTAGCCAAGCTCTGTGATTTCTAAGCAGATTTATTGATGTAGCTGCTTACAGTATGTAGGATTATGGCTCTTGTTACCATTGCTAATTTGCAACGTACCCATGTACTGTATGTACACACAGTGTTTACTGGATCACATTCATATTGAAGAAAACAAAAAAAAACACGATGATTCTTAGCCAAGCTCTGTGATTTCTAAGCAGATTTATTGATGTAGCTGCTTACAGTATGTAGGATTATGGCTCTTGTTACCATTGCTAACTCTGAGAGACGAGACAGTCCAAGTAACTTCAAAACAGTCCTGATTTATTCAAAGGATCACAGGTAAAATTAACATTACACGATCAGGTATCTTGCACCTCCAAACTGCTCGCAGGCAGATGAAAGATGAAAGACCCTGAACCCACCAGGCCTATACATTATATCACCTCGGTTGGGCTAGCCCCATACTACACAGAAACGTCAACCG